CCTTTGAGATCCACTCTAAAGAACAGTCGTCGTTGTCTAGTCAGTTATAACAGGGAGGGGGGCAGAATTTAACTGACAAACAATTTTTATTGGGAACATTTTTTCCCTGTTCTTTCTTTCTACTTAACTAATATCCATGTTAGAGAATTTGGTCAATGCATATTGTACAAGGGTGAAAACTAAAATGACCTATAATCATATTGTCCTCAGTCCTCCTAATATGATTCATTAGAAATTCTTTTCATTTGAAACTCTGTTAGTCTTGCTGCTATGGGGAAAATGCAAATTGAGTTGAGAAAGTTCATCTCTGACTATTATATAGCTACAGTGTAACATGATGAATTTCTTCAACTTTTGTTAAATCTACAAAGGAAGTTTATTTTTCCTTTTCCTTGGATAGATAAATTGCTTCTTTGCTATAAGATGTTCGTTTATTGTTCATTGCTTGTTACTTTTGAAAGGTGCTATGGAAACAAGCATGTAAGTAAAGGCTTTTGTCAGAAAAGAAGGATGTATTTTGTACCTGCTTTTTGTATTTGGAGAGAGTGTGACTATTGAACTTGAAACCTTTTATCCGGGCATCTTGGTAGTTTCTGGTGGGATTAATCGGGTGAGAGGGAAGAAGGGAGTTGGGGGGCTCCTTCCTTTCAGAACATGAAGTTTGTCCCACTGCCTCCTCTCCAGTGGTCTCCCAGGTGCCAGACCTAAAGGTTTTTCTTACAGTGATCCTCTGATTATTTTTACTTCCCCTTGACCCATATGTTTTAACAGGACTTTAACAAACTGCACTTATTAAGAAATGTGTTTGCCCTGTTTTGTTTTGTTTTTGTTTTGTTTCAATAAATGACATGGCACCTCCTAGCAGGAAGGAAGCAGGGTTTCAACCCTGAAGTGTTACTGCAGTTGGCCTTTAATTGGGGTGGGGGTGTTTTCAGGGGGACATTATTTACTCACTCATTAAACACCTATTGTGGGGGGAAAATAAATAAATAGCCTAGAGATAGCTACATTGAATACTTTTGGATTGGAAAATTATCCAAATTGAGTGATTAATTTGTATTACTTTGTGCAAGCAGTATCATGTTCCAGGGTAAAAAGAGGTCACTCTTTTTTAGTCACTACCTTTTAAAAAAATACTCATATGTACAAAAATGAACCAAATAATATTGCATGGAAGTTGAAACCGTTCCAGTGTTTAGGCGTGGGACAAATTGTTTTATGGACAAAAATCCATGCCTCTGTGGATGAAAATGCATAATTTATTATATGCATATCTCTGAGATTTATAATTAAGCTATTTCATTGATATATTTTTTAAGATGCATATCTGAGATGGACTATATCTTAAAATTGACAAGTGATGGTTTAATTGGCAACTTTTGTTCTTTCTTAGTGGTACATAAAATGATAGTGTCTGGAAATGATGGCGTCTTATTGATAGATGCCGTAAGATAGGGATATGTAGAAATTTCAGCACATTGATTAATGTTTAACACCAAAAACTTTATACAAAGGATGACTTGCAAAATGAAGATACATAACAGTTCCAGGTCCTTCCATCTCAACTAGAATTCTTTACTTGGAAGATGCCTTTAAAGATTTTCCCCCCATGTAAAACAAATGGAGAATCAGTGTTTGTAAATATAAGAACCATTTTCAAAATGTTTAGAAGGAAACAAACTGGTGATTTTTCATGGAGAGCAGATGGTATGGTTAATGTGTTTGAAATAAAGTTAATCAGACAGTATAACCAGGCAGATGTATGAATATGCCTTCTTGGGTTTTTTTTCCCCATTCTGGAAGGTTCATGGGTCCACTTATAAATGAAAGTTGTCTCAAACGAGACATCCTTAAATTGAATTTCAACAATTCACTGTTATTTTAATAAGACATATGCTTGAAAATGTATTTATTCCGAGTTAAAGACAGAATTTATATGGGAGGCTACATGATGTCTCCCACCCTGGAAACCTGTGTATGGACTCTGCTACTGAGGGCAGATTTCATAGGAAACTCAGCCACGTGAAGACTGCATACCTTCTTCCCCAGGTGGATTTGAGCTTTTCTTCGCAAGTGCACTCCCCAAACCAGCAGCACATCAGCAGCTTCCTGGAGCTGGTTTGAAATGCTGACTCAGGGACTCACCCCAGACTTACTGAACCAGAATCTGCTTTTTAACAATATCCTCCTCCAAGTGATGCATGAGGATGTGTAAGAAGCATTGGACCAGATCACTGGCTCTCAAAGTTGAGTGTGTATTACCAGAATTACTCCCTACCACTCCCAGAGTTTCTGGTTCAGTAGGTCTGGGCTGGGGCTTGAGAATTTGCATTTTTAACAGGTTCTCAGGTAATGCTGATGCTGCTGGTCCAGGGACCATACTTTGAGAAGCATTAGGCTAAAGCATCCTCGTTGCGCTCTCCTATTCTCTCTTCTGATTCCTTGCCCCCCAAATAGCGGTTTTATAGATTATTATAATCTTGTGCTTTAGCTTGATTAAAGAAAAAAAATCAGATTGTCTTGTATGATTTTTAGTGATGGCCACACTAATCTTGCTTGTTAATATCTAATTTCAGAGAAAAATTCTTTCATTTTTATTTACTATTACTTTTTAAATTGAAGTATAGTTGATTTACAATGTGTTAGTTTCAGGTGTACAGCAAAGTGATTCAGTTATACATACATACATATATACATATGTACACATATATATATTCTTTTTCGGATTCTTTTCCATTATAGGTTATACAAGGTATTGAATATGGTTCCCTGTGCTATACAGTAAGTAGGTCCTTGTTGTTTATCTTTTTTATATACAGTAGTGTGTATCTGTTAATCCCAAACTCCTAATTTAGGAAAAAATTCTATTTTAATGCGTGTTGGATTTTGACTCTAGGTGATAAGTAGTTCTCTTTCTCTTCGTCCTGTGAGTTATACTTTTAACACTTTAAAATTCTTTTTGTATATATAAAATGTTCATGTGGTTCAAAAACTAAAATGGAGTATTCTGAGGAGTCTAATTTCCAACTCTGTCTTGGTCTAATATGCTCCCTTTGGCCACAGATAATTTTTTCTATTTGTTTCCTATAGATGTCTACTGTTTCTTTGTGTAGATACAAGCAGATACCAGTATACTCTATATATCCCCTCCTTTTTATATAAAATGTAAATTATTCTGACCCTGTTTTTTTTTTTCAGTTAGTATACCTTTAGTATCTTTCTACATTAGTATATAGAAAACATTTATTTAACATATGCAGAATATACCATTGTGTGGCCTGTGCCAGAGTTTATTAAGTAGCCCCAATAAATGATGAAGTATCCCAATAAATGATGGATACTTGAGTGTTTTCCAGTCTCTTCCAGTCACAGCCTGTGGTGAATAAACTTGTGTACATATCATTTCGTATATGTGAAGTGTATCTGTGGGATATCTTTCCAGAAGTGGGATTACTGGGTCAGTGAGCAATGCATTTATAATTTTGATAAATGCTGCCCTCTTTCAGGGTTGTACAGTTTTGAACTCCTGCAAGTAATGCACTAGAGTACCTGTCTCCATAGCCTCTCCCAATAGAGTGTTTACCAACCTTTGGATTTGTATCAGTCTGAAAGGTGAAAAGTTACTCGTGGTGTTAATGTGCATTACTTTGATTATGAATGAGGCTGAGCATCTTTTCACGTGCTTAAAGGCTGTTTCTGTTTCTTTTTCTATGAACCATCTGTTCATGCCCTTTCTGCGTTTTTCTTTTGGATCACTTTTTTCTTATCAATTTCTAGGAATTTATAAATTAGAGAGATTAGCCCTTTGTGATGTGAGTTGCAATTTCCTCAAGATTGTCATTTTTAAAAAAATTGCTGTCATGTATTTTGGTATAGAGAAGGCTTTTAAGTTTTTTCTTTAAATTTTAAGTAGTTAATATTTTACGGTGTCTGGATTTTGAGTCACGGAAAGGCCTTCAAGAATTTGGATTTGGCCCATTTTTTTTTCTTTCAGTGTTTTTTTCTTTTATGGTTTCATTTTTACACTTAAACCTTTGATCCATTTAAAATTTATTCTGGTGTTCAGGAGTGATATATAGATTCAACTTTTTCCATATGGCTACCAGTTATCTTTACCCATTTGTTTCAGAATACAATACACCTTCATTATATTCTGAATTTCCAGATGTATTGGGGTGCATCTCTGGACTTTCTGTTCTATTCCATTAAGTCTTTCTATTCCTGCACAAGTACACATTATTGGTTTTATAAAATGTCTTAATGCCTTGTAAAACTAGTTTCGCCTGCTGCCCTTCGTTTTCCTGGCAATTCTTGCTTGTTTATTTTTCCATGTGAACTTTAGAATCATTTGTCAGTTCCAGAAGAAAAAGAACTTAGGCAAATTGAGATCGTGTTAAATTTATAAACTAACATAGGGAGAATTGATATCTTTCGGATATTGAATTTTCCTATCCAGGAACATTGTGTATTTTTTCATTTGTTTGGTTTTACTCCCGAATCCTTCTGGAGCATTTTCAAGTTTTTCTCATATAGCTTTTGCCCATTTCTTATTAAATTTGTTGTGTGTGTGTGTGTGTGTGTGTGTGTGTATATATATACACACACATATACATGTATGTATATATATATATTTTTGTGAGATCTTCTTTTCCTTTATCTTTTCTAAGTGGTTTTTTTTTTAAGGTTTGTTTTTTAAATTAATTAATTAATTTTTTTTGGAGCTGCATTGGGTCTTCGTTGCTGTGCGCGGGCTTTCTCTAGTTGCATTGAGCGGGAGCTACTCTTTGTTGCAGTGTGCTGGCTTCTCATTGCAGTGGCTTCTCTTATTGTGGAGCACAGGCTCTAGGCATGCGGGCTTCAGTAGTTGTAGCATGTGGGCTCAGTAGTTGTGGCTCGTAGGCTCTAGAGCTCAAGCTCAGTAGTTGTGGCACCCGGGATTAGTTGCTCCATGGCATGTGGGGTCTTCCCGCACCAGGGCTCGAACCCGTGTCCCCTGCACTGGCAGGCGGATTCTTAACCACTGCGCCACCAGGGAAGTCCCTGTAAGTGGTTTTGATTGTTTGTATGAAGGCTGTTTATTTCTGTGTAAGTACAGAAGTTTATATACCCTGAAGTTCTAAGTAGTTTTTAACAGACGTTAAATTCTGCAGAATCCTTTATACATTTTTGCCTAAAAGAAAAGAAAGCCTTGGGAGTCAGGCTTACAGTTAAATTCTGTGGCTGCATTTATGAGCTCTGTGGACATCTGGGGATCTGTTTGACTACTCTGAGCCTCAGTTTCCTAATCAGTAAAAGGAACATTTCTGGCTTGGTAAGAATGTTGGGAGAATTAAAAAGAGCTTGGGACTCATCACTTAGTGCCGCTTCCACCACCATCACTGCCAGCCGCAACAGAGATTGAGGTTGCTGTGCTCTTTTTCTTCCTCTTTCCCCTCTCACCTTTAAAAGACAAAGAAAAGAAGAAAAATGATGCTAGACTTGAAGTTAAAAGCAAGTTGTGATTCACTCGGAGCAGGATAATCAACATACTGAGAACAAACTCAGCCCCGTATTTGAGGCCCCTCCTGCCTGCCTTTCTAGCCTTGCTGCTGCTTGCCCTCTCCGATGCACCCTGACCAGAGGTTGCTTAGCTTTCCCCAAAGTCCCCGTGTTTCCTATAATGCCATCCCTTCCACCCAGAATGTTCTGCTACCTAATTCTACCAGTTTAGATATGTGCTGCCCTGCACCCAGTAAAAAACACGATATGTCTCCATGTGTAGCTTGTCGGTCCTATAGCTTGGCCTTGATGGACTGGAAACTGTGAGGAGAGAAACTATGTCCCTCATGTCCACCAAAGAATACAGAATACCTGGCAAAGAACAGACACTCAGATATTTTAAAATAAGTAAATGAATAATTGACTTTGATCTTTCTTTTGCCTCGTATTATGTGTCTGGGTAATTCATCTGTCACCCAGTACATTGTAAACCCCTTGAAGATAAGGCTTACGCCGCTTCTCAATAATAATAGTAACAGTAATAATAATGGTGGTGGTGGAGGTGGTGAGAGGCAAATGGATTTATTTTATATAAGAACATGTAATAATAAAAGCGAAAATTGATGTTCATTGAACATTTATTATGTTACAGGAACTGTTTTGAAGTCCCTGATGTGGATTATCTCACATAACCCTCAGCAGTCCTGTGAGTTGGATCCTGTTATTATGCACGTGGGGAAACCGAGGCACATGGGTTTATGGACTTGCTCAACATCAGACAAGCTAGGAAGTGGTAGAGCTGAGACTCAGATGCAGGTGTTCTAAGTCTAGCAACCCAGCTTTTCACCTGCTGCAAGGTTGGACACAGTCATGTGTAGGTCCTCCAACCATTTAAGAAAAGTTATTTAATTCCACTTACACCTGCTCATTTTCCTTCCCAGTCATGCCATTTTAGTAACTTGTATTTTATTCTTTCCGATTCCTCTCAGGCTTCATGTGCTCCAGGAGGCTTTCTCTGACCACCCTGCCTGGCATGAGTAGATGTTCAATTAAAAGTAATTTTAACTTTTTCCCCCCCTAGGTTCACAGTAAAGGTGCTAAGAAAGAGAATGTAAGACAGGAAAATAATTAAATATTTTTACTGAGGTAAGTTTTTTATGATTTAATTTTTTTAAAGGAAATGTCTCTTATTTTTTTAAAATTCCTCTCCATAGCCTGCTTTCTTAAGGTGTAAGAGGGAGATTGTTTTAGGAGTGTTTAAGTTCATAGAAGCTGAGGTTCTTAAGGTAGATGCCAGGAATGTGGGCTGTTTGAATAAGGTCATTTGGCTTCCTTACTTCTTTGACTTGAATCTTTAAATTTCCATCATCTCATTGTTTTAAAGCATGGTGCTGAGAGGGAGGTCCCACAGGTGGAAATCCATAAGCTGTTTGGTGATTACATATACTTGCAACATTCAGTGAAAACTTTGATTTTAAAGTAGGGAGCTGAAGGGATTTGAAGCCACTTGGTGAGATTGCAACACTTTATTTTCATAAATGAAAATGTGTTGTTTATTTTCTTATTATAATAGTAAGAAAAAAACCTCCCTCAATGACACCTAATTCCTGCCACCCAGAAATGGCTGCCATTAATATTAATATTTTGGTGAAAATCCTTTTAGAAATTTATCTATGAATATAGAAGTATTTATATACAAATCTTTAAATAAATTGGTGTACACTGTATATGGTGGTCATTTTTAAATGCAACAATATTTTTATATATCTCTACACATGAATTGTTAAGAGACATGCATAATCATATATGATCATTTTACTGACCATGTAATATTCCATTGTTTTAGAGGCACCATACTTTATTGAATCATTCCTTTGATGACCATTTAGATTGTTTCTAGTGGATAATAGTGTGTTGATTAACCCTGTACTTAAATCATTGTATACATGTTCATTTATCTTCTTAGAAGTATAACTACCCACACTGAGTTTTGTTCATCTTTTTAATCCTTGCCAGTCCAATAGGAGAAAAAAATGGTATCTTTTTTTTCTTTTTAATTTTATTCCTTTATTTATTTTTGGCTGCATTGGGTCTTCGTTGCTGTGCACGGGCTTTCTCTAGTTGCGGCGATCAGGGGCTACTCTTTGTTGCGATGCCCGGGCTTCTCATTGTGGTGGCTTTTCTTGTTGCGGAGCATGGGCTCTGTGCGCGTGGGCTTCAGTAGTTGTGGCACGTGGGCTCAGTAGTTGTGGCGCACAGGCTTAGTTGTTCCGCGGCATGGGAGATCTTCCCGGACCAGGGATCGAACCCATGTACCCTGCATTGGCAGGTGGATTCTTAACCACTGCACCACCAGGGAAACCCCAGTATCTTTTTTGAGATAGCAGGGTTTTTGACTGGAGTAAACCTTATATGTTTTAAAGACCTCTTTGATTTGATAGTCTTACATAAAGAATTTCCTCATCGAGCACATACCTGTGATTCTCATGTGTAAGTGAGACACTCTCTTGGACTTTAAATATGATGAAAATGTTAAAATATGTTGAGTTCTTTGTTTTTAGGTCTATTGCCCTGATTAACTCATTATAAATAATTTGAAATTATTGGCAACTAACTGTCTTGGATACTGAAAGTTTTCCTTTATAGAGAGTAATACCTTTGTTTTTTATTCACTTACAGTGGACCTTAAAGAAGCTTTAAAAACTAACTTCTTAACATCTTTCAAACATGAATACCAATTGTAGAATAGCATACAGAATGTGATTTACAAATTTAGGTGATAACAGAGTATTACTGAGTTATGTGAATATGTATTCACGTGTAAACCTATGAATATTGATGTTGAGTCTCATCTGTCCAAAGGATTTTGCCAGTTTCTGATATGAATGTGAGATCTAATTTTATGTTTGTTTTAGATTTTATTTCAATCAAATAAGGGTTACCTAAGGAAGGTCTCACATGGAACAGATACCAACTTTGTTATTGACCTACTGTTTGTTCTTTGACTTAACAAAAAGCCAGTTAAAATTCACCTCTTTTTCCCTGACATAAAATGCATCTTATAGAATGCCTTTCATGTGGGTGCTTTACTTTTCACTCCAAGTTAACATTGTTGAGGCTGGGACCAAGTGTGTTTTATTCACCATCTTACATCCAGCAACTAATGTGATATTTGGCACGTACATGGCAGACACTCAGATCGTTTTTGAAGGAATTAATGATTGGTGAATATCATCATTGTTAAGTTAGAATTAAGATGTAAATGAGAAGTGCCTTAAATTTTAATTAAGAAATTTAATTTCTTGGAGAATAAAACTAGCGTCTGTGATTTTTAAATGCATCTAAATCTAGACATGCATAATTGTAGTGACACTTGCTACCATAACATTTTGTGATGTTTTGTTTGGACTGTTGATTTGGATTCTGTCCCGTTTCTTTGCAGAATCACATATACTGCTGTGTTTTAAATCTGCTTTTTTGTCTGTTTTTTCTTGTTGCTGTTAAGGGCAAAGTAAGTGAAGTAGGTCAGGTACTAGATCTTATTAAAGAACGCTATTTGTGTTTCATATTACAGACATGGGAATATCTTTCAGTTATGTTATTTGAAGACAAGGATGAAGTAAATGTCCCCAAATATATTTTAAATTATAATGGAGAGAAATTGAGTTATATTTTAATTGGGATTCAGCATTTATTAAAAATAAAAGTAGATAAATAGATTGCTAGCCATTAAGAAGAATGTGTAAATCTTTGTTAAGTATCCCGCCTATTAAGCTTTTCTGACGCATAACCAGTTTTTCACAGCCAAAATAAACAGAGAGAATGAAACAATTATCTAATAGATTAAAGCAATGTTGAGGACTCTTGTTTCATACATTTTGTTTCCACTAGAGTATGGGATTCTAAAGAATGCATGTGCTAGTTTTAATCAGTATTTTAGCAGCAGTTATTGCATGTAGAAAAATTTAACTTATTAAATAATCCCCTAGCAATTTTTATTTGTACTTTAATTTTCTTAGCAACTCCTTCCTTAATAAATAGTCTAAAGTTAAATCTAGGTAGACTTGAAAGGAAATTATTGAGTCTTCGTTAGTAGGGTCTAAATTAATTAGATTTCCTGGACTTTACCCTCTGATATCATATTGTGGTGAACGGTATGATCCTGTATTCGTTTTCTAAAATACCCAAAGTTCTGGGTTCTTATATCTCTCTTCTGCAGTAGTATAGGGATTTGCTTATATTGTAGCTTTCATTTCACTGATGAGTTAATTTCTTTAATTGCATGCTTTAAAACCCCAATTCTAAAAATACTCCTGGACAGTGAGGCATTACTAGTAGTAGTAAAACTGGAGTCTTAATTAAACTTAAGACTTTATCATTTACTTCTCCTTTTAGCTGCATTTGTAAACATTTTTATACTGTATTTAAACAGATTTCAAGACATTCTTACGTATTTAATGGGTTGGATTCTGTGCATTTGCAAGTTTCCTCCTATTTTAGGCATAAAGGTTAAAGTTTAGACTGGCAGTGTAAGTGGTTATTTAATTGGAAAGTTAGAAAGAGGAGAAGTTCTGTCTTCATATACAGGGTGTGTGGTGGTAGAATATTTAGGTGAAACTGTTTCATTGTCAGGGTGAGAGTACTGAACTGCAGTAGGAGGGCAAAAAACTTGTTAAGTGCTTATATGCGATATAGATAACAGCTCCCTAGCAAAGCCAGCACTCTGGCCTTACTCCTGTGGTATCTGTAATGAGTTGGTCTCTCACAGAGGTTTTTGTTGTTGTTGTTTGTTTTGGGTTTCTTTGTTGTTTGTTTTGTTTTGTTGTTTTTAGAGGACTGTATTATTTCTCACTTGTGAGATCAATGTTTTATTTTTTATTTATTTTATTTATATTTTATTTTTGGCTGCGTTGGGTCTTCATTGCTGCGCACGGGCTTTCTTTAGTTGCGGCGAGTGGGGGCTGCTCTTCGTGGTGGTGCACGGGCTTCTCATTGAGGTGGCTTCTCTTGTGGAGCACAGGCTCTAGGCGCATGGGCTTTAGGCGCATGGGCTTCGGTAGTTATGGCACGTGGGCTCAGTAGTTGTGGCGCATGGGCTTAGTTGCTCTGTGGCATGTGGGATCTTCCCGGACCAGGGCTTGAACCCGTGTCCCCTGCATTGGCAGGTGGATTCTTAACCACTGCGCCACCAGGGAAGCCTCCAGAGAGGTTTTATTAAACTCTGAATCTTAAGGGGAGAGTTTTGGAAAGAGGGGTAGAGAACAATAACTTTGGGCCATAAGTTCCATAATGAATGTGGTGCTTAGGGAAACTCTGCAGGAATAGCTATCTCCAGCCTCCGAATGTCCCATTGCCCTTGAGACATTTCCCTCCTTGCTAACCCTAGAAACTTTTCCTGGTGTTGTGGTGTGATGGAACATTGTCTGGAGCTGGGCGGAGGGAGTCTGACTGTCTACCGGTGCAGAGTCTAGATGCTCTCTTTAAGTAGACTTCCAGCATGGGAGTATGGCATATTCTAGCACTGTGATGACAAATATGGGAAGTCCATGCAAGCTTTACCTTCGTTCCAGTTTGTTCAGAGAGGACACCTAGTTCATGGTGAGGGTTATGTTTGTGTCTGCTAAACCCAGTAAGTTTTGTTTTAAGTAGATTTCAGTCTATTCTAATGTAACAAAGTTTTTCAGTCTGAATGTTCTAGCAGCCATCACTCAAACGTTAATTGCTGTCAGTGGGAAGGGATATCCTCCTACATCTTTTCTGGAGCGCTTGAAACCATCCCACTTCCTTTTTCTTTTACCTTAAGAACTGATTACTGACACTTGGGAATTATAATCAGATTGCATCAATCTTTATAGAAAGGTTACCAATTATTGCACTGGAAAATAGGCATTTGTCTCTCATAGTAAGTGTTTCTCTTGGTGTGTCTCTCTCAGTTCATTGCTTTTAAATACCTCTTAGGTGAATGAATGCTTTGTGTCGTGCCCTGATTTAATACATTTAAAACAGACTTTATTGATGGCTTTCTTACTTTCAGTTATATGGGAGGGGGAATAATTTATTCAATATGGAATTTTCATAGGATATTTCGGTTGCTTAGATGTCCTTGGGGTAGAAAAGAAAGGTTGATGTCAATTACTTACACTGTG